TCAGCTTCCACATCTGTCTTGCCAGCATTTTTTCTGAACTCGTTTACATCCATGGGGCTGTTATTTATTTGTTACTGCATTGCCAAGACAATTTTATGGCTTATTTTTTCTTTCCTTTTTTTTTCTGAGCATAAGTTCCTCCAGCATCATGCTGGACAAGTGCCACCTGTTTGGCTTTTCTTTAACCACAGTCCTATTACTGCTCTGTGAGCCCTGGATAATACAAATTATCTCTACCTTTAGAAAAACCTTCCCTGGCAAAACCATTCTTGAGGATCTAAAGAATAAATGTTTCATGTTTTTTGTCTGCTGTGAAAGCTTATACCAAATACATGAATCCTGTGCTGGATATTTTGTGACCTGACACAAGGGCTTTCATTTAGTCCTTTTCCAAGGTGCATTGAGCAAGGTAGCACTCCTTTTCCCCTTCCTTTTATAATACAGCCACCCTTTGCTGTACACATCAGGGATTAGCTGGTGTGAATTAGTTGGCTCTATTTGTAGTAGCCTATACTTTTCATCAATTGTGTCTAAGGGATTCTTCCTGTTTAGGGAAAATACAGAGATTTGCATAACTTCAGTTACTGGGGCTTTGATAACCATATATCATGTACTTTGTAACCAAAAGAGTTTAAAACCAATCTGCAGTATTGCTTTAAGTAAAAGTCTCAGCATCTCATAGCTGAAGTACTTCTTGTCTTCTTACACAACTTGAAATTTATTTTTTAATATTAAAATGTCTCCAAAATGTCACTGGTGTAATAGTAAAAATAGATATTGCATATTTTCTGAAATGCAGAATGTGAGACATAAGTGAGAAAGAATTTCTGTGAGCAGAAAAAGAAATATTTTTCTCAGAGGACTGAGTGAAGAACAGAGAGGTCAATTTTAAAACCTTTCATTTTGTGTGATTACAGCCGTGCTGCAAATGCCATTTCACTATAAGGAAGGACTTTAAAACATACCTTATTTCTTGATTTGTGCTGCAGGTCAGATTAACTAAAATGGTTATTGTGTCACCCTAGAGATTCCTGCTTGCTGCAAGACCAGACTTTAAACCCTATTTTTATTATTAAAAAGGCCAGCAGCAACAAAGGCTATTTTACAAGTTCTGAGACGTTTTCATAGCAATTTGATCTTTATACACAGGGTTTTAGAACTCTTTGTACTGCAATTCTTAGCGTATGTGAAAATCGGAAGGGGGGGGAAGGAGCATGAATATTCGTTTGCCACTTGCAAATGAGACTGTCCCCTCTCGATGCCCTTCTTGAGGAATGAATTTTGAACAGAGCACATGTTGGATTCTTGTGGTGGACCAGCAGCATCTTTCAGCAGATGAAGTAGGTCAGGTTGAGGGGAAACCTGGTCCTTTGGTGGTCCAATGTGTGATGCAACTTCCCCCCACCCCTCTTGAATTGCCATCACACCCTTTTGTCTTCAAGGAAAAAATTCATCTGTTTTCAAGATGGGTATGACATTATGATTTCACCTGGGTGTGCAGGTTCTGTTTGTATCCTGTTGTAGTCAAAGACACCAGTGTTAATTAACTGACCTCTAAAAGGGAAACAATAGATGCAACTTCTCTGTGTTGTATTCTGATGAAGTGTATTTACTACTTTTACTGTCACTTGCTGCAGTGATCTTTCTTCCCTAAGTTGTGTACTACAAACCTAACTGTTAAAGAAAGATTTGCCTCTACATAGTTGCCTCTTGCTCTTTCCTAATCTTGTTTAGGAAAATTTGGCAGTAATTAGCCAGCCAGTATCCTCAGGTATCCCTTGGCATTATCTGCCTGTCTTCTCCTTATCCTGTGCTTTTAACTGCTCTCACAATGTTTGGACATTTAATCTCACACTTTTTAATGGAACAAAACTTGATGAAAGGATGATTTTACTGGCTTGAGCAGGATAATTTGGATGCCTGCCCATATCACTTAATGGGGATCTGTTGAGTCCATTATGGAGATTGAGTGTTTAAATTCATTTGTCTTAATTATGTTATCAGAAAAATCCCTGGGATGTGTAGAATGCAATAAGACTGTGATTTTTTTTTCCTTTTGCTCCAAAACCCTAGTGAGATTCTGTATTTTTTGAAAAATCGTTTGACTGGTTATGAGCTGGAAAGTGTATTGGAGAGAGAGATGTTAGTAATGACCTGCATTTCCAGCACTGTCTTGGGAACTGCCTGGTCAAAGATGCATCAGTTCTGTTTCTAGAACGTGCATCTTCTTCATACCATCCCCCAAGTGTCATCCTCTCCTTTGTTATTGGTGGGTTCCCTGCCAGCACTGCCCTCCAGCAGCAGTGCTCACTCCTGCAGGATGGATGTCTGTGCCACCAGTGTGCTTTGTCTGCTTGAACTGCATGGAGTAAAAACGGTGATGGTGCAAAGGCACTACCCGTCCTCAGCCAGAGCAGCATTCTGATACTCCCCCATCAGAGACTCCACCCACCCAGTCCCTTCTACCGCATGCTGATGCCAACCCGAAGCCCTCTCGGTATTTAATTCATAGCTCTGCATCTTCTCCTTAGACCTGACCATGGCTGCCCATCAACATCAGCTGTTAAAAGGAGAGGGGATCTTGTTTCAATGCTGCTTCAAGACAGAAGTGTTCAGCAGCCACATGTTTCTGACTTGTCTAACTACAGCAGAGCTGGTTGGTATGTGTTTTGTAGGGTTGAGAGAGAAGGGGGGTATGTCTTCTAATGACTCCCAGGGATGGAAGCAGAAAAGGCTAAAAAAAGCTTTTGTTTTGGTTTTGCTTTGGTTTAAGTTTAATGGTTTTAAAAGTCCTTTTACTTTAAGTGTAATGGTTCTTAAAAGTAAAGCAAATCATCTTTACCCTTCTGGTTTTCTTTGTCAGTGGAGACTTTTGGAATTTAATCTTTCCCCAGAGGGATTCTGTGTGCATGGCATGTTTCAGTGCCTCTTCTCATGGCAAGAAGACTGCAGTGTTCATGTGACCATCGCGATGACTGAACTACATTGCCAGCAGGAAGGTGTACTTTACTTCTACAGGGATGCTCCACAGCTCCCTGTAAGGAGGGGTGGCTCCAGGTGTTGAGGCCTGGGCAGCTGAGGCTCCTGCCTCTGCCAGAAAATCTCAGCATTTTGTTGCTGAGATTTAGCACTTATTCTGAGCATTTTATTGCTCCTGCTTGATCACAGGGGGTGATGAAGATGCCACATAAAAGTGGTTTCTAAGCCTCAGTCTTTCACAGAGTTTGTGAAGTTGCAAGTTACTTTTTCAGGTTTAGTTTTACTTTCCCCCATCTATGATTGCTTGCAGTGAGCTCCTGAATATATAGATACATACTAAAGACTGAGATGAAAGGAAAAGTTTATCTTAGACGTTTTATGAAAGTAGGCTGGCTAGAGTTAACCTCAGACATTTGCAAAACACTAGTATTCTTAAAATCTGTAGTATCTAAAGTATTCTTGAAAGCAATACAGTATATTTGGGAAATAAAAAAAGCAAAACACCAGTGAACTGAGTGAATTCTGATAAATAAGCTGGTAAGTGTTTACACTGCACACAAAAGCAAGAATAGTGTGTGTGGTAAGTGAATGATGGTATCTGGCATTGAAAAAGTACTACTATGTTTCTGTAAGCAAAAGCCTACATAGTGTGATCAAAGCTGACTTGCAAATAGTGTTGTTTTCATAACTGAAACATTTATCCCATCTTCAAACAAAGAAAAACAATAAAGACCAACCCCCCCCAAAATTCTACTCTCAGTATATCTGTTAAAGTCTTGCTTTCCCTGATTTCTGCAAAAAAATATTGAGCATATGGATAATTTGAGTCTTCCAGGGAAGACTCCCTTTTAGGAGTTTTGATTTAAAGAACCTTAGCTGCTGCAGTACATGATGTGAAGTTGCCAGCATCACTAAAGTTTACTTATCTGAAGTAAAATAAGACTTTTAAAAACACCCACCCAGAAACCACCCAACCAAAAGCTCTGCTCCCCACAACACTCCCCCAAAACCCCACAGTGTTTCTTTGTTGTGGATTCATCTTTTAAGTGGGAGCAAGTAGGGGAGTATTACCATGTAGGTGCTGCAAGCTCAGTTGTCATCTGATTTTTCTCCTCTCCAAGTGGGATCTCTGAGAGATGAAAAACAAACAAAATCATAGTGTGTTGCAAACGGACTAAGCAAAATACCTGTATTGCCTGGATTAATTGTTTTTAGAGTGGGAGCAGGGAAGAGAGGAGCTTTCCTACCATGGTATGGTTGTACTTTAATTTTTTAAGATGTGCACACATATACATGCAGAGAAATCCCCATGTGAACAATTTTCTAAGTCCAGCGAATGGGGAGAGAATGGGCTAAAAATCCATTGTAGTGGCAAGTCAGATCATTTAAGGGTTTTAAGATCAGGGTCAGATCATTTAAGATCAAACCCAGAGGTCTCTGTTTGGAAAACCTTCATTCTCCACAGAGAAAGAGTGCTCCCCTCCACCTGTGCTCCAAGATGGACAGCAGTCAAAGGCAGCATCCTGTTCAGTTGCATAAGATATTTCACAATGGCAATATTGAGTGCTGGGTTCAGGTAATACAGCATGGAGAAATTGAGTATCGTGCTTGTGCAGTCATGATTTGAGATTTTGAATTGAGAACATGCCCAGTTCCCAGAAGTTGGTAACTTCGACTTTTAATACTAATCCAGCTTCATAAACCAATTCAGTTAAGTATTTTCTGATAATCAGAAATGGCAAAGCTTATGAGCTGAGAAAACAGCTGCAAAGGTCCTCTTAAGGTAATGTTGATATCACAGTGTGGTCTTCATAAAAGGCGTTACACGGTGCAATCTGTAGGGCTTTCAGCATGACAGATTACTGAGCTGTGTCAAAAGTGTCTGTAAAGACAGGGAAAGATGCTGTGAAGCACATTGTGTCAGTAGGAACTGCAGAGCTGTCTGAAGCTGCTATAAAGAGAACAAGATCCGTAGGATAATGTATATCATAATTAATGTAGGTGTTTTCTTTTCAAATTAGATGCAGCAGTTGGAGTTAGCGCAGATGCAACAAAGAGAAGCCAACCTCACAGCTTTGGCAGCCATTGGACCGAGGAAGAAAAGACCTTTGGATTCATCAAATGTTGGATCTGGGCTGGAGGTACAGACATGGCTTGCAATGATTGCGTGGTGTTATGTCTTCCTACTGAATCGTGTTTATCTTTCCCTGTAGGAAGAAGTGAGAATTCTTTCACACAGAATGGTTTGTTTGGTTCTGTAAGAAACCTAGGCTGATTAGGTGCTTGAAAGGATTGTTTCTGCTAAATTTGTTGGAGTGTTTAATTCTGTGTTGAAGGAAGAACTGTGGATAAGAGCACTGTGTAAAGGACAGAATGAAATGATGACTCAGAGAAATTTCCATCTGCAGTGGAGGGTAACGAAGCTGTGGTGGCCTTCCACAGCAGGTAGATGTCATGGCTCCTCAGATGGACTTACAATAGATGTTTTGGATGGCTTTTAAAATGGGTCTTGATTTAACATTTGACTGTGGCCATTTACCCATGCACAATACATAGGGACTCTTTTCAAATATTCTGTGAGCTCGGTTTGGCTAGACCTTCCCAGAAAGCAATAAATAAATAAATAAAGCCAGATGCACTGCAACGAGCTGGTTCTGGCTCACGTTGAATTTTAAAAGTGCATTGAAAGTGCTTTTAACAAATCTTTTCTGAACAAATCTCTTAATGTGCTGGAGAGTAACTGTTTCCAGTACCTGGGAAGCTTTCGTGGCTGCAGAAGTTCGTTCCAAGGAGCCTGACAGCCTACTGCTGTTATTTCGTCATCTTTGGTGGAGATGAGAGAAACGTGTTGCCAGCTGTCATTCAAGTATTACTGCTGGTTTTGCCCCTCTTTATCAGGAAGCCTCGATACTGCTCAAGTGAAAAACTGGTTTGCTGCTGACAGGATCACAGTCAGCAGATGCCTGGAAAGTAACTGTCATGTGGGGGAAGTGATGGTAAAGTTGTCCTTCCTGATGAACCTAAAGTCTTTTTCATTCTTGTGGCTCAGGAAGCTTGAATAGATGCTAGGATTGAAAATACTCTGGGATTTTTGCATAGTGGAGTCTGGGAGGACCTTGAATAAAGCTCAATTATTTGCAGTGTAAATGAGACAGTGATGGCATCTGTCCTGTAGTTTTTTCTTCGTTCTGGACTGTGACAAGAGACCTCACTAAGCAGGTGAGATAGACTTGTTTCATTGATGTGTTTTTGTTTTTGTTTTTTTTTTTTTTTATTATTTTTTTTCGTGTATACACAATTAGGTCTTTGAATGCTCCCTGTTTACCACAAGGGAAGGGAAGGATTCTGTCTCTAGACAAGCTGCAGAAAGCAGCGTTCACAGCTTTTGAGCAGCTATTCTTCTCTTCTCTTTGAAGTTTTTTAATGCACTTTCACATGAAGCTCAATGTATAGTTACTTTTTTAGAATACCACTGGAAAAACTTGAAAAAATGAGTCTAGCACAAGAACAGTTTTCCCCATCCTTTTCTCATCTTCCCCCAAGCTTCTATCGAGTAACTATTCTTGTTCTTCATAGTGGTTTTCTGTAATTACTGCCGGATTTGTTTCTGAATATTTAACAAGTCTGCCTGTTAGGTACTTTTCAGTTACTTCTCGTCATCTGTGTCATGTCTGCTTTATTAAAAGCTTTGTGAGATTGTGCCAAAGCGAGACAGACAACAGTGTTCCTATTGAAAAGTGGTGAGCCATTATTTACATTGGCAGTTTGAAAAAAAGTCGGCATAACACACCTAAAACTGACCATGACATTGATAACATTTCATTTCACAGATTTACCTGCTGTATTTTAAGGTTCTTCTTGTCTGGGTTGCTGTACTAGACTGAGCTGTGAGGGCAGTAGGTGAAAGTAATTCTGCCAGTGAAACTATTTTCATTTCTCACACGCAAGCTTGCATTCCAGTGCCGAGTACTTAGGCTTCATGCTACCAGAAAGCAATTCTCTGCAGACCATTTTTTTCTATTTTGTGAAATTATGCAGGATAGAAAACTTGAGAAGGATGTTTAGACTTAAATGTTTTAAGTGTCCCAATATGTCTGAGCAGGATTTATAAAAGGCTTAAGCCTTCTCATGTAGAATAAAGAATGGTTTTGAGAAACACTCTCTAGTTCAAGAAGCAGAACATTTGTAATACATTCATGATAACATGGCAAAACATCCTGAGCAGTAAACAACATTCCATTCTTCAGAGATGAAAGGAGGCCTTTGAAACTGAAAGCAAGTACAATATAGCCTTAGGCTGATACACATTTGGGCATCTTTAAAATCATCTTTTTGGGCAACCTGTCTGAGAATAATTTAAACAGGCAGGATGTACTTTCTTATTTCAAATTGCAAATACAGACAAAATATAGACAGCTTTACTCTCAAGTAATCTTAGATGTCAGGGCTTCCAGACTATGCAATGGCGAGGAGTAAATCTGTGCATAATACTCCTGTGACCTTTTTTATTATTATTTTTAAAGCCTAATATCTTCATAGACAGGTATGATGGAAGAAGTTATTCCTGAATACAAATGATCCTTTAACATTATTGAGTGAAATCACTGGTGCTAACTATATTAATATTTTTAACTAAGAATTTAACTTTCTTTGGATAATGTTCTTTGTTTCTGTCCCTTACATCCATGTTACAGCAAAGTTGACTCTACACAGCTTCTTTTTTTTTATGGTTGTCTGCTGCAATAATTAAAGGAAAGGAATTGTTTCGAGCAGTTATTGATGTAAACTGAAGCCCTAAGGTATTTGGGGAGACAGGGAAGAAATAATCAGTTGCAGTATGTATTAAAAAAGTGAAACTTTCTAAGCAAATTTGTCATGTAGTTGTGTTTCTTTATTCAGTACCAAAAAGTAATGGGTATTGGGAGAGTTCAGCTCAGCAGACTGGGTCAGTTGGATCTGCTGCCTTTTCTTACAGTGAATGTGAAAGGCTAAACCCAGCATTTTGTTAGCATATCATTCTTCCTTTCTCCACAAATGAGTATCTATGTTTAACTGGGATGATTCTTCAGCGCTAGGTTTTTGTTTCTCCACGCTCTGCCACTTGGCTTTGCGCCTCGTCCGAAAAGTCTTTTTCCTGAAACAGGATTCCTGCACATTCATCATTTTAATCTGGGAGCTAGGTCATGTGGTGACACAAACATGTGCTTTACAACTAGAAACCTTACCAGCAGCTGCATCACCTCATAGTGTGGCAGGGAACAACTGAAGAAAGAGGTTCTTGTCTTGCCTTCCAACTAATTTGGACCTAAAGCGATATAAAAAGCGTAAACTCTGTCTTGCCATGATTACTGCTTATGTATTGCTAAACTTGAACTAGCAGTAGGGGCAAATCCATGATGATTGTGGAATGAAGAAAAATAAGGCTAATTCCCTAGGCCTAAATTAAAAAAAAAAAAAGGGAAATAAAGGCATCAGTATAATGGGAATCTTTTTTCCTTCTTGTTGGAAACGCTAGTTTGAGTAGTTTTGCATGTTCTCTTCACTGCAACTTAACATTTGAATGGTATTGTTCAATAAGAGTAATTTGAGAAAGCCCTGGTAAAAAAATCCCTCCATTGTGAAAATGTGTTAATTGGTGCTACTTGTATTCCAGAGGTGGCAATATCTTCATCTCCCTCATTCTGGTCCCTCTGGACACTTCTGGATACAATAAGGGGGAGAAGCCTTTGGATTTGATTTATATGTGTTTTGGGGGTTGCGCATTTGTTATCCACCTCTTCTCCTCTCCCAGTTTGAGGGCATGTAGTAAACAGTAATGAATTAAAGGGTAGGAAGAATTGAAAAATAACTTGTCTTGAGAAGGGAGGACACTTCTAAAACAAATAAGAAAAAAGTAAACTTGAAACCACAGACTTGTTTTCCCAATTCTGTGTTCTGTTTCATGTTTTTTATTGGTTGGTAGCATGCTCCATAATGCTGATACATAGTCAAGGATGGTTTTTTTATTAGGTTTTACTGCTTTTCTGATGACAAAGCCATTTTGGAAACAGCTTTGTCTCATTCTCACTGTAACTGGAGTCTTAGAAATTTGAAAACCATTGCGGATATTTAAAGCTTTTTTTCTGTGAGAAAATAAACTACAGTTCTGAGTCATTAAACTTTCTTTCCTTCTATCCAAAAGTGTCCTGGATGCAGGGTCATCTTCTGCCCTAAATTTAGAGCAGTATATTTGTGCAGCATCGTGCCGCAGGTAGGGAAGAAGTCTACATATGTTTTTGAAAGTAGAGTCAGGACGCTAGATGTTACACTTACAGTCAGCTTCTGAAGACGGTGGTTGGACCATTCTTCTACTTCGTGCAGGAAAACTTAGTTGGGTGCCTGTACTTTTGTGTAATTTTTTGGGGTACACTGCTTGCTTCTCATTAACCTTCTGGCTGCATGATAACACACTAAGTACTTAAAAATAATATAGTCTGTCCTGCCCCACAGTGCTGTTGGTGTTGTGTCTGTCCCTCACTTTCCATCTTCCCGGCTGGTCCCATTGAACTGATTCAGGGTTATATTTCATGTCCTTTCTTTCTTTTTGTCAGATCCAATAGCAAAGGAAATTTCCTCCTTCCAGATTCTGCCTGTGTCTGTCCTGCCCCCTGCCAAGACTGGCTGCTCTCTTAGGAAGTGTGGGTCTTACCTTGACACACGTAGTCTGGCTTTGCTGTGGAAACTTAAACTACTGCAAGTAGCGCTACAGAAGTAAATGATGCAGCTGATATTCTGGGGTCAGTGCAGAGCTATTCAAGTACTTTCTTTCTGTCAGACTCCTAGCTCTGGCCAACATACTTAAAATAATGTGATACTTCCAGGGTTGTGCACATCTACTACAGCAGTCCACGAATGAGCTTGCGTTCTCCTTCTGCAAAGAAGTTTGGCAAGAAAAAACAGGAGAAATGTCTTGTTTACCACAGTGCTCATTGTTCCATTTTTAGTGTTGATTGTGGGTGGAGGAAATGAGCTTGTCCTCTTCTCTTGTCTCTGCCACATCTGATCATTGTTAGCAGAAGTTAAACTTACCCTTCTTGCTGTACAGCTTGGGGTGCCTATATTCTGTACATGGTGCTTATTTAAGCTTTGGAAATGCTCTTGA